TCAGCAGTTTAATTTAATAAATTTATTTATATCCTGCCTTATTCCAGAAAGAACTTGTAGTAGCTCACTTTCCTTGAGAGTGCTTTTGCTGTAGTGGATAAAACACCCGGAATGGGCTCCAGTCCTGAGAGCCCTACCACCTAGTTGTGTGACCTAGGACTGGTCACCACCCCGCCCCCCTCACTGCTCACCCCTTCTAGTTTTTCTTACTGTGAAATGGGAAATTTGGGCCAAGTATCTCTTAGTCACTTTCAAACAGTCTGTGCTCAGCCAGCTCAGGGCCATAGGCTGTGCCTTCAGTGTAGGGAGGGTGCAAGGCAGAGAAGGGGGGTGCTGGGAGGAAGACCATGCCCCAGATGGAGTCATGTGGTCCCCAGCTGAGCCCCTGGGTTTGGAACCCAGGCAGCAGAGTGAAATGATGTAGTGGGTAGGCTCTAGGTCAAGCAGACCTGCAAATCCCGACTGTCACTAACCAGCCGCCTGGCCTTAGCTAAGCAACTTAATGTCTCTTTGCCTCAGTTTCCCTCTCTTTCACATAGGTATCACAGACCTGACCTCACAGGGTTGTGGGGAGGATTCAGTGGCATGTAATAAGCTGAGTACTGTAAGCTGCTAAGGGCTGGTGGCTGGGGACAGTAGTAGAACAGGGCTGAATCCTCCACACATGGAGACTAACTAGCACACGGTCCCGTCCTCACTCTGGCAGGGTGCGGGGTGAGGTCTTACTAAACTTACAGCAAACACATTTTCCAGCCTTAATCTAAAAATACGGCCTGGCAGTGGGAAAGAGAATTAAAAAATCAGAATTGTTCCACAAAACCCAGGACACGTGGCCACCACACTCCAGCCCTCTTCTGGGAACCCTGACAAGGGGTTGGCTTATCTCATCAAGATAAAGGCCGAGGGCCTCCTCCCTCCCGTCGTTTAGGAAAGGACTTCTCGGGAACCAGCTCCCACCACGGGCCAATAGACCCATTTTATCCCACCCCTGCTGTCTGTGACAAGGCCTTGGTGTGGGGAGTCCAGTTTAGAGGCTGTCTCTGGTCCCTGTTCTCAAGCGACCTCCGCTGCCTTCTTTGGATGGTGGTTCTGTAGCTCCCGGATCAAGTGTTGCTCTTAACTGGGAAGACAGTGTTCTCTGTCCCATGAGCAAAGGCACTATAGGTGGGCAGGGTGGTGTTGCTGAGAGTGATGCTGTTAGAAGCTCACCAGCAGTAGGGGTGAGTGAAGAAGGGGCATAAGTCTGCCTAGGGACCTGCTGTGGATCTTCCCACATCCTTTGATTGCTAGGGATGCATGAGTCTTACCTTATAGGTGACTGGGTGTTCTGGGGTGCCAAGCCAGTCAGGTGGCCAGTCCAGAGATCTTCGGCCAGGGGTATGGGTCAGTCATTCATTCAGTCACCCATCAAACACCTACTCTATGCCCATGTCCGTGCTCAGCGCTGGAACCACAGAGATGCATTCAGTCATGGTCTCTGCCCACAGGGAACTCATGGCCTGGCTCCTTGGCACAAGGGAGCTGTCTCTGTTGGGTCAGTAATCTTCTTGGAGAAGGATGCTATCTAATTACTCACACATTTCCTTCCCCACTCACTCCGAAACCTCGATCAAGACGTGTTTCTGCCTCCTCCTCTGTTTTGGCCCAGCTCTGCCAGCGAGCCTTGGATCCCTGGGTGGAGCAGTGGACTCCTAGTGCGGTTCCATCCCTCTCCTTGCTGTCACCTCTGAGAGTCTCCCCTTGGGAAGTCCCACCCGGAGCACTCTCTCTCCATCATCCTCAGGAGGTGCCTGCCAGTGGTCAGCGCTGAGCACCGCTTCATCTTTTCCTCTTCTAGTCTCTTCTTCCATGTTCTCTTTTTGTGTCTGCTCCTCTTCTCTTTTTCCCCTTCCTCACCCTACCCTCCAAACCCACCCCCATCCAGGCCCTTGTTTAGCTGGACACCCCGGTTTCCTGTTCAGGTGCCTTCTCCCCAGCCAGCACCTCCCCGGGCTCCCGGCATGAGGAGCATCTTGCCTTCTTCCTCTGCCCTTTCTCTGTCTCTTCCTTTCCTCCTTTCCTGGGCTTCTCCTTCTTGGACCTCTGACCCCAGACTTCTCCCAGCCACTTCTCCCCTTGCCTTCACCCCTTCCGTCCTTCTCCAGCTGAAGGAAGGGTGCCACCCCTCCTCCAGAGAGAGCCTGCGAGAGCTTGCTGTCCCCATCAGTGGGGCCATTGTCCGCTCCCTGTCCCTGCGCCCCCACCCCCCACAACTTTTCTTTATGCTCCTTCGCCATTCATCATTACCGATGCCTTTCCTGCCTCCTCATTGCCTTCCTCCTCCTCTGGGGAGTTTCCTCAAGCCTCCTGTAGCCTCTCTTGGGGGTCTCTGCAGGCTTTCATCACACCACCTTGCTTCCCTGATCCTCCGGCACCTTCTTTCTCTCCCTCAGCCCCACGCCCTTCCTCCTCCTCTCCTTCCCTTTGCCCGCCTCCCGCCACCACCTCTTCCGAAGCAGGCTTCCCTTTGCCTTTCCTTCCTCCCTCCCCCTTCCATGGCTGCCTCTGTAACCTGTCTTATCACCAGGGCCTGAGTATACAAAAAAATAAATAAATAAAAAGGTCAGTGAGCGGAGGGAGCAGCAATAACCCCTAAAACAGTACCATCAGTGGAACATGATTGATCAATTGAATTCCATAGCGGCTGAAAAATGTGGGATTAAGTAGTGTATTATACGCACAATGAGTTGAGGCATGATGTTCATTTCAAGTTCATTTCGCCGGCCTCTGCCACCAGATCAGGCAATCAATAGGGGCAGCAGATATCATATATCACCTCTCTGCGGGCTGGGGAGAGAGCACCATAATCTCTCGCAAATTTAGAGTGACAGATTTGTCAAGATCTGAAGGGCCCCTGAATAAATGAAGGAAAAGAGACTCCTCCAGCCAGTGACCTGAGGACAAAGCTTCAGTTCATCCCCTACACACACACACACACAAGGTTGAGCCAAGCCACACACAGGCTTATACACAAATCCCCACAGAGGCATGATACGAGCCTTCCCACACACATGCACACACCCATGCACATAATGTATGAGCACATGCTCCCAGACAAATGCACACCTTCCTCCCCAGGACCCGTTTGGTGACACTGCACTAACCACACACAAAGACAGCAGGGCTTCCCTAAAAGGTAGGAGAACTCCAGCAGGGGAGGATTAGACACAATGGGACATGCAAACAGCTACAAGGGGTGGAATTAGGAGGATAGCACATCCTTGAAAGAAAAGCAGGCACAGAAGAAACATGGGGCACCTGAGCTCACGCTCCCCGTGCAATCACACACATGTACACACACACACACACACTTTGAGAACAGCTCTCACTCTGTCACTCACACAGACACACACACATATTTATCTGGATGTTCAGACGTGTACAAATGCATATACACAGAATACCCACAGAAAAGGAAAAACTAAATATGCCACACCCCAACTCATATAAGAGAGACACACACAGTCTCTAAGACAGAAAATCATTCCAGAGGCTTACACAGTAAAAAACACAACCACCAAGTTTTGTGTCCATAGGAATTCAGGGAACATAGAAATACCATGGAGGCTGCCCCTGTGTCTGTCTACCCACCTCAGACTAGATCCTGCTCTTCATTTCTCTCTCTCTCTCTCTCTCTCACACACACACACATACACACACACACACACACACACACTTTCTTTGCTTTCCCACCTCCTGAGGAATAGAGTGGAGGGAGGGGAAGACAGCAGGTCCCATTCAGAAAGCAGACCCTATGCTCCATCTGGGAGGCCAGAAGAGAGGATGGCTGCAGGTTGAGGTTAATCAATATGTAATATTTTCTATGGTCTCCTGAACGATACTGTACGGTGTTACTGTATATAATGCAATATTGATTATATCATATCGTATAATCACCTATAAACTGATATATATAACAGTCCCAGAGGAACACCCTGAGGCCTACAGCATGGGCTGGCCCCAGGCCCAAGGCTCCTCAGTGGGTCTTGGGCTGAAGGAAGCCAAGGAGTAGCCACGCTGTGGCTGGTGTGGACCCAGCTTCCGGGGGTAGACATTCAGAGAGAGACAGAGAACAGGCACTTAGCTCACTGTGTGCTCTGGAAACTCTAACAGACCTGATGCAGGGGGGCAGGGATGGGGGGAAGGGTAGCAGAAAGCCTGGGTAGAGTGGGACCTGGACAGACCTGGCCTGCAGCCCGAGGGAGCGGGCCCGAGTGCGGCACCACCGTTGGCCTTTCCTTCACGGAGTGAGTCTCAGCTCTCTGTGAGAACCACAGGGGGAGCCGGGGGCCCGAGGAGCTGGCCCCTGACAGAGGCCTAGTCAGAGTCCGGGTCAGAGACAGAGGATGAGGAGGACGGTCTGGGCACAAGAGCACCCACAGAGATGCTGTCTTTAGTCTCTGCCCAAGGCGCTATCTCACTGCTCATGTGCCACCTGCTGTCCTCCTGCTCTGGTCTCAGTCCTGGCCCAACGCGAGCAGAATGCTTCAGCTTGACTTCCACAGTCCCTCCTCCCTCAGTGGTGAAGTTAATTACTTCACCCAGCCCCCATGTTACACTCAGCCTTGGAGATTTGATGATTTTCCACCCTTGGAGTCAGTGGAACTGAAATTCATCTCAGAGCCGAGTTCAATTCTCCACAGGCTCAGTAATGCTGGTCTGAGACACCCAGCTCCTCCCCCAGGCTGACCCAGGCCTGGGGACAGAAGGGGTTCAGGGGAGGCATCCCCTAAGGAGACCCCTGGCTGTACCTCTGCCCAGTCCTCCCCGCACCCCCGGGCCCCGGCACTCAGAGGCTCTGGCTTCCCCAGCCAGATCTCTGAGGCACGGTCAGCCCCTGGGTCTGCTGCTCTAGCCTAGAAGCTGGGAATGAGGGGTCCCAGCAGAGGTAGAAAGCCCCCTTGACCCACTGTGCCTGTGCTGGCCCGCGCTGATGCCCCCAGTGTCTGTGTGTCCTCCAGATGTGTCCGAGGGCTCAGTCCCCAATGGAGACTCCCAGAGTGGCGTGGACAGTTTGCGGAAGCACTTGCGAGCTGACACCTTCACCCAGCAGCAGCTGGAAGCTTTGGATCGGGTCTTTGAGCGTCCTTCCTACCCTGACGTCTTCCAGGCATCAGAGCACATCAAATCAGAACAGGTGAGGAAGGAGCTCTCTGCTTGCAGGAGTGGACAGGAATGGGGCAGAACAAGGCCTCTGGAGAACGCGCGTAACCAGCATTACATGCACGGCATATGGGTGCACTGTGTGTGGGCCGAGTGGACACACTCACACAAGGACGCTATGCTAGAGTTAAGAAAAACCATTATGGTATATGGCAGTTAGAAATGATGGGTGATAGGTCTTGGGGAAGTCTTGTCTCCTTTCAGAGCCTCAGTTTCCCCATCTGTAGAATGGAGGACTTGGGTAAGGTCTAATAGGTCCCTCCAGCCCTGTCATTCCACGCGTCTGGCATAGAATACCCAGGAGACGTCCATGTCCTCTTGCCATGTCCCTTGCCTTAATGGCCCGGAGGTCTTACAGAAAGTTGGTGCAAGGCCGGGGTGCTCTTCTCGCCCGATGTCAGAAGGAGAGCCCTCGGTGCCTGCCTCCTGCTCCCAAGTCCAGTTGTCCAGTGTGACCCGAGATAGGCGGCCGGCCTACCCCCCCGCCCCGCCCTGATACTTCGTCCAGATGCAGAACAGCCCAGCACGCCAGGCAGCCCACAACACACCCACAGAATACACAGCATAGAAACACATCTCCTAACTCCTCCCATTTACCCATGTGCATGTGTTTACACACCACCACAGGCACCTGCTCCCTCCCCCCACTCACAGCTCACAGTCCTCAGAGCACACACCACCCCCATCTGCCAGAAGGGGTGCCTTGTCCCAGACCACAGCTCGGCACACCTCCAGCACCTGCTTCCACCCACACATCCAGAGGGGCCCCCAGTGCACACACTCCCATTCCTCCCACACCTACGGCCCAGGCCAGGCCCACAACTGCTGCACAGCAGTCAACTGGGCTTGCACGCGCGCACGCGCACTTGGACGTGCGTGCGTGCGCGCGCGGCCCCGCAGGCTCCACGCAGCACAGTTCCGCTCTAGGACTCCAGCAGCTCCCAGCAACTCGCCGTTCTCTCCGCCCGCCCTTTTATCCCATAAGCTGTTTGTCTTCATAAAACAAAAATCAAAAGTCTTTTTAAGGTGCCCTGAGCCATAAACCAACAAAGGAGGAGCCGGCCGAGGCGGGCGGCTCGGTGCACCCTCCACGAGTCCCTGGCTGTATTACAATGAATAACCTTTATTTACTTTCATTAGACTATTAAACACCAGCACAGTCATTTTTCCCCCTGAAACTCGGAGCAGGGCCCATAAAGCAAATCCGAAGCCTAATTGAGTTCATTTTAATTTCTCTCCGATCACAGCGAATTACTCTGGTGATAAATCAGGGGGCAGCTTCACCCCCAGTAGAAGGCCTAATTTGCAGCTAATTACAAAACTGATTTCTACAGGAAGATCAATACGAGAAGGAATTGGAAATGACGAGGCAATCCTGGCCAGCCAGGGAAGGGAGGGGGCCCTCTGGGGGCGGCCAGGAAGCGGAAGGGAAAAAAACGGACCCGAAAGAGCAGAAAATCAGTTTTAATTTAACGTAATATTAATCAGGACAACTTTTCCTGCTTTGTGCAGGCTCCTGGTCGGCCCAGCTCCGGGGTCTGGCTGAGCGGTGACGGCAATAAAAAGGCAATTACCCGAGTGTTTCGGGCAGGACACCCTTTCAGAGGCAATGACTGGCCCCCTCCCACCCTTCTGTTAGCCATGTGGACTCTCCCCCTCCCCAATTTCATACCCCAGTGCACAGGCAGAGAGCAAGGGGCCCGTGGGGCTGTCTTTGTTTGTTTTTTAAAAAGGGGGCGCCAGCACCCGATCAGCTAGCCCAGCAGTGCCAGGCCAGAGGCCCCACTCGGCCCTTCCCCCAGCTCCTGCCTCGGCCATCATCGTGTCATGGTCCGCCCCTCCTCCCCAAGACTCCAGGGGGATCTGAAAACACCCTTTGCCTCTCAGCAGGGGGGACCCAACTGCTACACTCCGCCCTTGGGGCTTCTTAGGCAGGAGAGGCTAGAGTGGTTTAAAGAGTGCTGGGATCACCACCAATAACTACAGGCTGCACCTCCAGCTTACCCCGAGTCAGGTCTACCCCCCACCCACACAAAACTCTCCATCATCTGCTGAGCCTGCCCCTCCCTCGCTCCCCTCCCTCTGCCTGGCCATCTCCTTCCACCCCATCTGGGAAGGCTCCCCGTTCCTCCTCCCCATCTGCACACTGAGCCCTTTCTCTGCATGTGCATGTGCCTATCAATAGAGAGCGGTCGCTTTTCTCTCTTCTCCCAGGGGAACGAGTACTCCCTCCCAGCCCTGACCCCTGGGCTTGATGAAGTCAAGTCGAGTCTATCTGCATCCACCAACCCCGAGCTGGGCAGCAACGTGTCAGGCACGCAGACATACCCCGTTGTGACCGGTAAGGAGGCTTCTGGGGGGCGGGGGGGCACTGCTTTCAGTAGGGGCACCTCAGCCCATGCCATCTGGGGCCCATTGTGACCCGTGGGCCCCCTGGCATGATATCTACAGAGAGAGTGAGCCTCCGAAAACCAGGGTACTTTCTGAATCCTGAACATATGTGTGCAGATGTGAGGAGAAGAAGCTGTGGTCAGGGTCTCTGTGTGCTTCAGCCTGGAAAGGTCAAAGCTAGGAGGAGCTGTTGCTGGTTCCTTCTGCCCATCCTCTCGCCTCTCTCTTTACCTCTTCTCTTGCCTCCACCAAGGTGCCCAGAATTATATGCCTCCTGTGAGGACGTGCACAGAGGAATGCAGAGGGTAAATAGGCCAGGCTGAGGAGAGTGGGGCAGTGTCCAGCCTCCATACTCCCACACCTCCAAGGCTCCTGGGGGATCTGGCTTCCCCTCCCTCTAGGCAGCCTGGGGAGCTGTGGCTTTGGGCTTCAGGGCACAGCATCCAGCTCTGTGGTAACAGATAAGCACAGTTATCGCTGTCCTTCTCCTGCTTCCCAGAGAAACCACTGAGACTGAGGCTTGATTTCAAGGCCAGGCAGGTTCAAGCCTGTCCCACAGTCAAATGCAGGGGAGAGGACATCTAATCCAGCTGCTCCCGTGGATTCGGAGCAGCAGGGGCAGCTCGAGGGGAAGAAGGCCGAGGTGTGGTGCAGCAAAGGGCCCGGCTAAGGAAGCTCTAGGCCACAGAGCTGCAGGCTGTGGAAGGCGTCTGGCACTGCAGAAGGGTTTCCGGGCCAGGAAAGTGCCCAAGTGGGAGAAACACACATTGAGGTGTTATTAAAATTCACCTAATTATTCTGGAGACACTAAAGCCAATGTGCCGTTTGTTCCTTGGGAGACAGAATGATTGAGAAGGTCTCGGTGGGGATTGGGAGACACTGAGGCGTTACCTGTCGAGCGAGGCGGGCGGAGGCGGCCCGGGGACCTGGCAGCAGGGCTGTAGGCAGCCAGCATCATAGCTGGTGGCAAAGGCAGGGAGCAAGGCCCTGGTTCTGGCGTGGAGCTGATCTGAGTAGGGCTCAGGCCCGAGCCGGGCTGTGAGTGGCCATCCAGCTTCCACCTGTGGGCTTGGGAGAGCCCTGTCCTTAGCTTTCCCGGGCTCTCCTCAAGGGGTGTCCTGGTACAACAGTTTCCGGCCCAGACAAGGTTGAGCTCTTTTGCTAGGCGATCAAAGATTGAGTTCTGGAAGTGTCAGGGAACCAGATGGGGCTTTTGGGAGTGACAACCTTAGCTGGGTCAGGACATAGCCTATTATTAACTGGCCCTTGACATGAGCCCTCCTTGGCCAACGTGGAAGCCCTCTGAGCTGCTGGGTGTTCTGACGCAAGGCAGAGAGATGATGCAGGCCAGGCCACGCTTCTCATCTGCTGAGAGTTTCAGTGGCCACTTCCTGAAGGTGGCCCACCCCAGGCTGCTGATGAAAGAGAGCCCAGGAGACTTTTCTCTCATCCCAGCTGTGCTGCTCTGTGCCTGGGGCCACAGTCCAGAAGGCAGGGGCTCCCTGGGGTGGAGAGATGGATCTTCGGGTAGGGTTCCTGCTGCAGGAGAACTCGGGCTGGTGCGGAAAAGTGCCTCCACCTTGAGCATCCCCCGCCCGCCTCCCCCCCATGGCCCTGGAACGGTCCCAGCTCAGCCTGGGAACATCTCCGGCTGATCCATCTGGATCCAAGTGTGAGAAAAGTTCATTTCAGACCCAGCTTGACATTCCCAGGTGGCAAGTTAGCACTAACATCTCAATCTGTATGCGACATTTCAATCAAGCGAGGAGTAACAAAAGCAGAACCATTAACATTCGGAGCTGTTCACCAGTGGTAATGACGGGAAACTCGCTCAGAAACTGGAAATTACCAAAAAGAGAAAAGTGTGTGGAGAGGTGGGGGAGGGGAGGTGGGAGGAGGTGGGGGCAGGGAATGAATTTTCTACACTTAGGCCAAGATCCAATGTTTGGATTAATGGTGCCATTACCAGAGAAAGGGCTGCAGATTATGCTCATTCTTAAAATGTTTTTGCTGGCAATTAAATGGCTGCAGTTATTGATCTTTGTTGATTTTATGTCCTCCTAATTTGCATAATCTATTAAAGATGAATGATTCATGATGTGTTTATTATGGGGACAAACAGAATTTGCTGGAGGTATTGTCAAGGTGAGAAACGGGGCAGTGCCCAGAGACTTGATGGGCCACCTCAGGAGTGGGTCCAGCATGGTGGCCTTCGGGCCAGGACTTTGTGGGTAGCGGCAAGCAGTGATGCAAGGAGAGCAGACACATGAGAGGTGGACTTGGGCTAGGTTCTTCGCATCTGTGAAAACTTCAAGTACATCTGGCATATGGGAGAGGCTTTGGGTGTATTTGTAGAAATTCCCCTTGAAGATTCTTAAAAAGCTTACTTTGTTGGAGAATATGAAGGACCTTGGTCAAGAACGAAAAGGGGGAGGCTCTTTCCGGCCAGCTGTGTGCTAAACGTGAGGGAGCAGGGAGGTCATCTGTATCCACAGGCTGGCTTGGGCTTGCTAAGGTGTTCAGGGCCCCCTCCTCACCCCCCGTGTCTCAGGCACCCAGCTCATCTTCCTCCCCAGGGACAGGCAGCTGAGGCTGTAAACCTTGAGGGATGAGCCCTGGGGAAACCGGCCTAGCAATGCCCTAGCCCAACCTGGAGAGCCGACCTTATTGATATTCCTGCCACCTCCTGGCACTGGAGGCTGATTTCAAACTTCACCAGCCACTTGATACAGCTGTTCCACAAGGTCGGGACTGAGAGGAGAGAGGAGCCCAGGCTATTGTGTGGAGGGGAGAGTGGGGCCCAGTGGGCCAGGACAGCTAATCACATTGCAAGCAAGGGTGGCTGGCGGCGTCTGCGGCTTGGCCTGATAGTCTCCCCTCCCCACCTTCCATCTTGGAACCAAGGAGAGAGACGGATTTTTTCTGGGTAGTGTTTGCAAGTTCTGCCGAGATTTTAATTTCACTGCATCACAACTCAGCAAGCTGCCAAGTCAAGCTGGTTATTTAAATTTATCACCCACTTTCCCTTCCGCCGCTGGGCTGCTCTAGCTCAGCGGCATCTCTTCTCTCCAGCCCACTGCTCTAGGCTGCTGGTCTGGAACGGAGCCGAGTCTCTCTGAAGTGATAAGGAAAAAGGGACCAGCTAGAGGAGAGAGTGGGTTGGGGGTACTCTGGCCCCAGGCCTCCTCAGGTTGGCTGGCAGTGGCTGGTACCTTCTTCTTCTATCAACTTCTTACCCTTCCAGAGGACCCCAGAGGGGGCTGTCATCAATCCCTCAGTAGTCCCAGGGACCTCTGGGCCAGGACTTCAGTGAGGACTCTGGTTCCAACTGTGTGCTGGTGCCTTCAAATCTCCCTTCACTGGAAGAAAAGAGCCCCTCATCCCCATGACCTTCACCTCAACCTCTCCCTTCCTGTGCCTGTCCAGGTCTTCAGCCATAGAGGAGCATGAAGGGACACTGGCATCAATGTTGATCTGGGAGAAGATGAGTACTAGTCTCAGGATGCCCCAAGTCCCTTGGAGAGGCGCCTGAGCATTTAGAGAGTCCCTTGGCCTGGTGAAAGTCCACCGTGAAGGTGAGAGCAGGCTCCCTACCGTGGAGGCCACACAGAGGGAGACGGAGTGTGTGGCGGCTCTCCAGGCTAACCCTAGCAGCCCAGGAATCCGCCTGTCAGTCCCCGGAGCTACTGCCCTGAGCAGGCTGCCCTGGCCTCCAGTGGGCATTGGCACTAAGCACTGGGAGAGCTTCGTGTGAGGGTAGTTCTTGCCACCCTCCTTTTAGTCCCAGAGAGGTGGTGGAGGAATGAGATCCATGTACAGAAAAAAGGCGGGCTACACTCCCCAAAACACAGCTGGATAAAAATATAACAACAAGAATTGTGAACACAATAAGCAAACCTCACTCTCCAGTGCCAGAAGGAGAGGGAAACTCAAAGCCAGAGCAAGAAGTGAACGACCAGGGGTATTGCACTGGGGGTGGACCCCAATTGGGGGAGACCGCAGTTGTCACACAGCAGATGGAAGCCACGACCTTGAGTCCAAAAGAAGCAGGAAGCTAGAAGTGAGTATTACCCTGTGAAAAGCCAGGAACAGAGCAAGACGCCATCTGTGAAAGGTAAACACACAAATTATCCCAGTGGTCCAGGGAAGCAAGTGAGTGAAAAATTGTCTCCATGAAAAATGGAGCCCCTAAGCCTGACCCTGGTTCAGAGGCCAAATTTATACCTGAGTATGTGGCAGGAACCCCCAGCCAAGAACTGACATTAAAATTTGTCTAGGGTAATAACCCACTCAGAAACCCCAGCAGGAACCAGGGCAAACCTTCTCTGTAGAGGCATTCCCCAACCTAGGGTACATGGGACTCCACCACTAAAGATGAGCTCACGAAAAAAATTACACACCTCATGTGAATACAAGCTATCATGAGGGAGAGTTAGCAGAAGCGAGAAATAGAACGACTAATATCCCCAAGAGCTGGAGATAATAGAACAGTCCAAAAACAAGTATAAAATAAGCACGTTTCATATTAAAAAAAAAAAAAAGTCAAAAGTATTAGTTTTGTGTTTATCACGGTTCCAGATCCCACATCCCCTTCCCCACCACAGCTCAGCCAATCTTCAGGTAATAAAAATCAAAAAGGACAACGAAAGAAGACCACACCTATATATAGCTTACTGTTTTGAGGTTCAGGAGCCTCAGGCAGCCCTGAGAGTAGAGTCTGTTCCCTGCTTATTCAAGCTCCCAGACTCAAGTGTCAGCAGAGAATCTTCCCTTTGGAAAAATGTCTGAACTTTGAAAAGCTAGGGACAAGGAAAATACAGTCCTCCTCAGTGAAGAAAGAGCCTTATTAGCTTCTCTACCCTGGGTGGATGGCAGTGGGGGGATAAGGTGGTTTTATTCAAGAGTTTGGGAGAAACTTCTCTTGATGCCTTAAGACTACAGCTCTGAAGG